TAACTATTAAAAAGGAAAACATTTAACTGTGGTGGCTCACTTACAGTTCAGAGTTGAGTCCATTATTTTCATGGTGGGGAGCATGATGGCATGCATGCAGGCAGACATGGTAGTGGTTACGTCTTGATCAAAAGGCAACAGGAAAAAGACTGTCTGTCACGAGGAGTAAAGCTTGAGCAAAAGAGAACTCAAAGCCTGCCCCCACAGTGACACACTTCCTCCAACAAGGCCACACCTACTTCAGCAAGGCCACACCTCCCATTAGTTCTACCCCCTTTGAAGGCCATTTTCTTTCAAACCAGCACAGTAAACCAGTCAAAATTGTACATGTATACAATATATATGTGATATATAAAATGATGCTTAGATGTACGCATGTATTGCCAAAAGAATAAATCAAATTGTTTAACATGAGCGCTACCTCATATATTTATTTCCATGGTGAGAACACTAAAATTTACAATTTAAGCAACTTTCAATTATACAATGTATTGATACTAGCCCATCACCTTACAGTGCAATAGATCTCTTTCCTGAGAAAAACATCAGGCTCTTCCACCATCTCTCATTCCTGTATCCTTCAGCCTCTAGTTGCTCTCTGTTTGCATTAATGCTTTTTTCTCATTTCTTAGTATAATCTTATTTTTGTCATCCCATGTGCAAATGATACCCTGTGTTATTAGTTTTTGTCTTTTGGGTTTATTTTAGCCACATCATGTGTTCTAGGTCCAGCTGCATTATCACAAATGATAGGATTTGCTTCTGTTTTTTTTTTTGTTTGTTTGTTTGTTTGTTTGTTTTGTTTTGTTTTTAGGCCAAGTAGGCATCCATCATATATGCACTTTCACATACTCTTCATCCATTAACAAAAGGATTCCTGAGCTGCAATTCCAGAGGATGCTTCCTGGGCTCCTAGGATATATTCAAAGCATTGTTCCCTTTATCTTCAGACAATATAGGAAAACATAACTTCCTGGAAGATTTTTAAAGATCTAAGTATATGCTTGAAATATTATGGTGGTTTGAATGTAATTGCCCCACAGTGGTTCATAGGGAGTCTGACACTCTTAGGAGATATGCTCTTTGTTGGAGTAGGTGTGGGCTTGTTAGAGAAAGTGTGTCACTGTGGGAGTGGGCTTTGAAATCTCATATGCTCAAGCTATGCCTAGTGTAAGACACCGTTCACTTCCTGTTGCCTGAGAATCAAGATGTAAAACTCTCAGCTCCTTCTCTAGCACCATTGTTTGCCTGCATATCAACCACCATAACAATAATGAACTAAACCTCTGAACTGTAATGTAGCCCCAGTTAAATGTTTTCCTTTATAACAATTACCTTGCTCATAGTGTCTCTTTACAATAGAAACCCTAACTAAAACAAATATATATGACCATATATCCACTGATTGTCTATCAAATTAGGCTAATGGGTTTTTTGGGGGGGAGGTGGCCCATGAAGAGGCCAGAAAGAGGGACTGGGTGATTGCTCAATGGTTAAGAGTGCTTGCTGTTCTCGCAGAGAACCTGAGTTTAGTACCTACATCAGACAGCTGCCTACAGTTCCAGCTGAAGAATATCTGACACATTCTTCTGTCCTTTGCAGGTACTGCACACATATGCACATACCCACATAAACACATATTTACACACACTCACACACATGTGCACACATACATATCCATAACTAAAAGTGCAATAAATCTTTAATACTGAAAAAGAGGGCAGAGGGATGACAGCACAATGGCCTCAGTCCAAGTTCCTCTGAAATGACCATCACAGCTGAGGATGGGATCAGACAGATGCAAGGATGTGGCAGAGGATCCAGAGTTGTCTGCTATGGTGCTGTAAGTAGTGGGGTGACAGGCTTATTAGGAACAAGCCAGAACCTCTTTTTGTAGTGAGGAGTGTGTGTGTGTGTGTTATTTTCTTCCGTTGGAAAGGACTGTGAGTACTTTGCAAGCTCACCCTTGGAGAATAACCTATACTACTTCTCATTTAATTTGGAAGATATTAGCATGATGGAGAAATACATGCTAAATGCCAACTATTCTTTTGTGCTCATCAGTTTCCCCTCCAATTGGAACATGTCAACACTATAAACCATGTCTTTCTTGCCATCGGGATAGACAACATGACCAGTGAAATAAGGACTCAATGTTTTCCATTCCTAGGACCAGGTGCTCAGTTTCCTGTGGGGTCTTCCATGTCTTTACTCTTCCTTGTATGTAAAAATCATAATGGAAAATTCCTTATTCCAGTAATGGGGCGACACCAGCTGGCACAAGTGCCAGTCCCTAAAAGACTACATATAACAAGGTCCTTTCATCACTGCCTTAGTTTTGTTTCCTGTTGTGACAAATTACCCTGACAAAAGCAACTTAAGGGAGAAATGATTTATTTAGCTCACAATTCCAGGTTTAAATCCATCACTGAAAGGAAATCAATGTGTCAGGTGACTTGAAGTGTCTAGTCACATTACATCCACAGTCAAGAGTAGAGAGCGATAAATCAATGCACATATGTGAGTATTCCACTTACTTTCTCCGGTCCTATACAACCCAGGATCCCCTGCCTAGGGAATGGTGCCATCCATACTGGACTGTTCTTCCCACTTTCATTACCATAATCTAGGAAGTGTCTCCCATATAGACATGTTCCTAGATCAACCCAACCTCAATAATCCCATATTGAAACTTCCTTCCCTAGAGATTCTAGAGTGTGTGAAATTGACCTTAAAACTAACCAGTACAACCTGCTGAGCCCTATTAGGCTGGACCAGGCGATAGGCCAAATCTTTGCCAATCCACAGGAATGTTGTAGTTGTTCATTATGGCACATAGTGGATCCTGACTAATTTCAGAACATTGAAAATATATAAAAGAATGAGTAGTCTTAAAATTAATATAATATCATATCAGCTCACATGGAAAATAATTCTACAATTTATGGATTACTTAAATGAAATAATCAAGCCATTTATGTAACACACAATCATTAGTCAATTCTTTTATGATTAGCATTATTCTTGGTCCTGGGAGTACAATGAGATTCTTATCATTATTGTCTTCATGATCATAAATTAAAAAGGATGAATAATATAAAGAAAATAAAATTCACTTCAAGGCTAGGGAAGGGGCTCAGTTGGTAAAGTGCTTGCTTTGCAAGCACAAGGGTCTGAGTTCAGATCCTCAGCACCCCTGTAAAAAGCTAAGTTTGATGGAACAAGTCTGCATCCTCAGCATTGGGTAGGCAGAGACAGGAGGAGCTCTGTCACTAGCCAGCCAGTCTAATCAATCATTGAGCTCCAAGTTCAGTGAAAGACTCTGTCAAAAAAAAAAAGGTGGATAGCAATAGAGGAAGACACCACACATACATACACTACACATATGTGTATACACACAAACAAAAATCATTTTAATAAACAAAAAGAATGTGGCCAATGCATACAGCAACAGTTAGCCAGTATGACAAATGCATATTTTCATCCAAGGGCTCTGTATTGCTCAGTAAGCACACTAAAGAGTTCAGCATGCTTCCTGCCATTGGGAAAGAGCCTCTAAATTCATTGTCAGGATGTTATACAGAAGAGGCTTTAACCTTTAACCTTGCTATGAGACTGAAAAGAAGTGTCCTGGGAGAAAGGTGAGCATTACAGACTGCAGAATCATAGGGGTCAAGACAATGAACGACTGCAAAACACTGGTGTGCCTTTGATGGCTCTGAAGTGAAGGGGGATGACTGGAGAAGGTGTGTGGGGCAGTTCCTGGTGAAATTCATATATGATGTTAACATGTTCTGACTAATCCATAGGATGGTGGGAAGTTCAGAAATATTTTAGGAACATGTATACAGGGAAGTAGTGATCTCCAAAATATGGTAAAATTGTCATTAAAGATTATTTCTCAACACATCTACATTTATAGACATTTAGTTCAAATTAACAAAGAAATAAGATCAAGTATCATTCGATCAACAGGCATAAAAGATAATCATGAGCTCCATTAAGTTGGCAAAAACATCAAGAACATTAGTTACTAGGATTCATTTGAATTGATTTCATATTATACATGCATAAAAAGATAATTTTCCATTGCTCTTATGGTTTTGTGATTTATTACCTTGAAAAGAAGACTTTACAGCAATCATTCATAAACCCATTTCATTCACTTCTTACCTCTGGAATATTTTCTTTTAAAAATATCACTAGAAGCAATTTTAAACAGCCCAAGTTTTAAGCATTTAAAAGGCAGCTATTTTACATACACAGTAAGTATTTTTTCTGAAAATTCTGTATTATAGAATCATAATTCACAGTGGGCTACCCCTGTTAATATGCACTCACAGCTGCATGTAGCCCTAGGAACCATTATTATATTAAGAATAATGTAAAGACACTTAGACTTATTCTGTACCATCATGCGTATTACCAAGTGTGGGCCATTATAAGACACAGTCACAGCACACGGTGTAATGGTATGTTAAAGAAGATGTGGAGAAAACTGAAAGCACATTAAGGGTACACAAAACTCTGTTGAATTTTAATCGCCTTTATTCATAGGGCACAGGCCCTGATGATCCTCAAAATGTGTGAGATTTAAATAAGTTATCATTATTCTGCTGCATTTAAGCCCTTGGGGTGAGCTAATCGCCTTCAGTGGCCTCCTTCCCAGGGATAAATATGAGGAATGAAAACTTGGGTCACAATGGAAAGAACTGTGTGGTACCTGGTGAACAGGTACAATGAATCATGTCCAATCTATGTCACCAGAGAGTCCTACACACTTCTGGGTCTAATGAAGTTGTATAAATTTAGGAGAGCCCCCAAGTTAAGCCCCATTTCTGAAAGTTAGTATTCAAGGGGTTCAAATATAAAAGAAATACACCTAAATAAGGAAATTTACTTACTATAAGCTCAAAGGAGACATCTTTACTGTTACTCTGACCCATAATTTAGGAAATATTAAGGAAGAGCTGTAACAAAATCCAGCTAGTAGAACCCACCTCAGTCATTTCAGCAGCCTTATTTCCTCTGATCCAATGGCGATAGCAGTTAAAGGAGCACCAGCCATGTGTCCAGGAATCTCATGTTTCCTCTCACCTGCATCCAAATATAGTTACATGAATGTCCAGTGGCTATACATGAATCCTTCCTGCATTCTGATTGAGTGGAAATCATATATGATCTTTCTCTTTTTCTTTATAAAATATTTCTGGCAGTTGCAGTTGTTCCTTTTCAGAGTACAAGAAGAAAATTTGTGTAGACACAGCATTAACTTCTCTCAGATGCAATGGACCACATTACACAGGTTATGGTTCTGCCTGCTCAACCCATTTTCTCTGGCATAGCTCAGTCTTCCCCAGAAGCCACACATCTGGAGACCACAAAGGGTTACTGAGTCCAGTCATTGGTTAGATGTACAACAGTGAGTCCAAACTGGGCAGAAGTAGCCATCATCTCAGGGTCTAGTCATTAATGTAAGGACAATAATGTGACCCTGGGGCAGGAGGTCCTGAGATTCTTCTTGCAAGAGTCTGAAGCTAACTGGAAACAGACTTAGGTCCACTGAGAATGATGATGTAAGTGAATATCACTAGCTTCATAGAGAAGACAAGGTGTCCAGTCGCTAGTATGCCTACCTGACTACTGCAACAACTCCAGAAGTGGAGCCAAGTAAAAGAATCTCAGCAGCATCCTGTGAGCTCAACTCTGGACTTCCCATAGTGTTAACAGAGGATTAAATCACATTGCTGGGTTGTTTGTCTGATGTACCTAAATCTTAATTGTTTTTCCATTCAACACGTACGGTATTCTTCCGATAAGGGCAGTTCAAGTCCCCTCTAAGGAAGCACCCAGTTCCTATTCTTGGTCATAGAGCTTTGGTTTGGCACAACCTTCAGCTATCAGCACAGACAAATTCATCTCCATAACAACACAGTAGTCCAGTGATTGGTTCAAGAATAGAAATACGCCCTCTAGAGGCAGTAAGGCAGAATGAGAATTTGGGGCAAAGAGAAGGGCTGGAGCTGTAGATCAGAGGCAAAGCACCTTCCTTGCATGCATGAGGCCACAGGCTCAGGAGAAAGAGGGATGGGAGAGGAGAGAGATGTCTAATGAAGTATTATTAATGTGTCATTTGAGACACTGTACCAGAGTTATCTATATCCTACCACTAGAATTTTAACTAATTATTCAATTTCTTACTTAAATTGATTTAAGATGATAGATTTGGTCCAGTTGGGGAATGGGTTTTCTTTTTTCACTCATAGGTAATCATTGATCATTTTATTATACTAACAATTGTATTATTACTAAATTAGGTTAAAAAGTAATATCAATGTGTTGGATTTCACTTGATTTTTTTTCTATTACTAATGAGTTGTGATGGCTCATTTTGCTTCATAATCTCAGAGATATCTGTGAATTCTATCTTGTAAATCTTTTGGCAGTGCCAAAGGAAGGATCCTTACTCCAGACCCAAATGATCCAGCCAAGATTACCTGCTGAATCTAGTCCTATTGTTGAGATTATTCAACAAATTATGGATAATGTTTAGAAGTAAAGATGCTGAACCTAACCACAGAAGGTAGGATTACAGCCCTGTGGCATCTGTCTAGCTAGCTAGTCATAAGAGCAACGAGGACCCCCAGCTGAGGGCATGCCCTAGATGAGCATTGGTTGACAGGTTCAGAGGTTTAGTCCATTATCCCCATTATCAAAATGGTGGGAAGCATGTCTGCACGAAGGTAGACTTGGTACTGGAGAAGAAACAGAAGTTTCTCCTCCCAAGTTGCAGGTAATAGGTGAGAGAGTCACATTTGGCCTCGCTTGAGTTTCTGAAACCTCAATACCCATCTCCAATGGCACACTTCTTCCAATAAGGTTTTACCTATTCCAACAACACCACATGTCCTGATCCTTTCAGATAATGCCACTCCCCATAAGCCTATAGGGGGCATTTTCATTCAAACTACTACAGCGAGTTTTATTTCATCCATATGAATCTACATGGACATATGCACTTTGTATTTACACGTGTATATTTTCCAAGAACACTGGGGTTTCTGCTTGTTTGTTTATTTGTTTGCCAATTATTGAGATAGAGTCTCACTATGTAACTTTGGCTGGCCTGGAACTTGCTATGTAGACCAATTTAGCCTCAAACTCAGAGAGATATTCGTAACTCTGCTTCCAATGTTCTGGGTTTAAAAGTGTGGCAATGTTAGTTAGTTAGTTAGTTAGTTAGTTAGTTAGTTAGTTAGTTAAACATAAGTGTTTGTCAGTGTCCCAATGCCTGGCATGTAGTAGATACTCGTTAATTATTTATGTATTAGATAGATGAAATGAGATCGTAGACCATTATAGAGAAGCATCATAGAAATTAGGGACCCTAAATTTCACATCCAAAAACAAAAGTCTACAAAGAATATCGCTGAGTGCATCTTTTATGCACAGGAAACTCCACATAAAGAGTGAAATTCAGACACTGAGAAAATAAAAATTGCCTCTGTATACACAGAAGTACGCAACATTATTTCTTTGGTTTCCTTGACAAAAGGGCCTACATTTATTCCAACTGTGAGAAAACATTGGGGAAAGCAAACAAGGTCCATGCTACCTAATGGCCAAGTGATGTTCTTCTATTGTATCCAGGAAAAACTGAGCAGCTGTCCCAGGAGGAGAGAGACTAAAGTGACCACATGGCTAAAGACAATTGCAGTTCCTACCCTGGGTAGGATCCTGGAAGAGAAAAAAAAAAAAAAAAGACTTGGAGAAGTTAAATGAAATTTGGAGTTTGGCTACCAGTATTGAACCATGACAATTTCCTCATACTGATGAGTGTATGGTGGATTCTTACAGTGTTAATACTATGAAAGTGTGGTAAGAAACATGAAACTATCCTGTATACCATCTTGGCAAGATTTCTATAAATCCCAAGTGAGTCCCAAAGAATCCTTTGAAGTTTGTATTTACATATGTGAGTATGAACTTGTAATAACTTTAAATCTTACTCATCCTTTTGTCAACTCATTGCAATAATAGTCATAAAATTATATCTGGGGCATAATTACTGAAACTGGTATCCCAGCAAGTTAGAAGAAATAGCTGATGTTGGGGGTCTAGAGAAACAGCTCAGAGGTTAAGAGTGCTTCCTGCTCTCACAGAGGTCCTGAGTTTGGTTCTCAGAAGCTATGTGCAGAATCACACAGGGGCTTATGACTTCAGCCCTCTTCTGGCCTCCATGGGTACCTATGCACACATGGCATACATACAGATATACATAAGTAAAAAATAAATAAACCTTTTCTAAAAAGAAATTGCTGACATCTTTTAAGCATTATTCAGTGGGCAAGTATCCACTAGCTCATTGCCCCCAATCTGTCCCTTTGAGTAGATCTCAGCTCCAACCTTGAGATGGCTCTCTCTGCTTTGAAAGTCATCTTGTCACTGAGGAAAAGCAGATGGGTAGGTGCAACTGCCTGAAATCATACCTCAAGCAGGATTTCCAGGGTCCTTTCTATCTCAAGAGTCTAGGATCCTTCTGCTTGAATTACACTAATATTCGCTTGCATAAAGTCTGTTGATCATCTCTCTCCATTCATGGATTTCATAAATACAACACATGTCACACAGGAAATAAGATGAAGGCCTCTGGTCAGATTAGCAGGAGACATTGCCGACACACAGGCTCCTGTCTGGGGAGCTCAGCAGATGTGTTGATTCCCTAATTCACACAGTATCAGGAAATGAAAAAAATCTCAGAACATCAGTAAACTTGTGAGCAATATTAGCTATTTCCAGTTTATTTGAATCTCGGGTAATACTAAGTATAATTGAAAATAACTCTGCTCCAACACGCTTTTGGCATTTGCTTCTTCAGATCCTTACTGAGAGAATCATTCATCCCTACCATGCCAGATTTCTGAGCCTCAGGCATGCTTCTCTAGTCACAAAGCCTTAAGGTGCTCTGTGCTTAGCTGGCCATCTTCATGGAGGAGTCCAAGCCCGTGTTCAGGCTGTGCCCTCCCAGGAGCCTGTGCAGTCTTTATGCCTAAGTGATTCATAGGACAATATCCCACAGATTCACATTTCTGCTGAGGGGAAGTGAAAACTTTTAGAGGCTAAGACACACTGCATGTTGTTTCCGATGTGCAACAGGATTGGTCAGTCAATCAGCACAATAGAGACTCACTCCTTGGCACATCCTTATAACGACCCATCTTCCTTTCTTCCCTGCCTCTAGCTTCCTGCAGCTGTACTCCATATAGACTACGGGTCCCAGCTTTGCTCTCAGGGAACACAGGGAAAGAAGCGTAATTACAAAGAGCAATTAAAATTTCCTAAGGGAAGAAGATGCACAAACTATCTATGGGCTAGTAAAGTAGCACTCACTCATTAAACCTGTGGCCTCGAGCTTGATTTCCCAGCCTGGGGGACCGTCGGGGACTCAGCGACAGAAGCAGTAAGCCACAGCTTCTAAAATGAAATAGTCTAAGTTCTGAGATCTTCCACTAAATTTGGTGCTGAGACATATTCTCAGGGCAGGTAGGTAAAGGTGTTTGCCAAAAAGCTTGATGACCTAAGTCAGTCCCTGAGATTCATACGGTAGAAAGAGAACACCAGCTCCTGAAAGCTGTCCTCTGACCTCCATATGTGCATTGTGGCTCCTATGCATGCGCACGCACACGCACACACACACACACACACACACACACACACACACACACACACAAATAATAATTATAAAATAAATATAGTCTTATTAAATCATTTTTACCTGATCAAGAATACTGGAGGAGACAAAAATTTCTACAAAATTGGAAGAGGGGGAAAAAAACCACCCTGATTTAACTAATATTAGCCCTGTGTTAATGAATACACAGATATCATTCTAAACCTGGCTGACCAAATAATTCTTCTCTATAGACGTCCATGAGCCTGACTCTTTTAATAACACACACAAACACTGCATAAAGAATGAGGACCCTCCATAGGCTCCTGAGAAAACAGTGCTATGGTAGACTGGGATGCTGAGGATAAGACAAGTGCTTTCTGGCAGGGCTTCCCTGTTCCAGACTTGCCCAAGAACCACTGCAGGA